TGTGCAGGGCTGTGTGTCCGTGTGCGGGGCTGTGTGTCCCTGTGCAGGGCTGTGTGTCCCTGTGCAGGGCTGTGTGTCCGTGTGCGGGGCTGTGTGTCCCTGTGCAGGGCTGTGTGTCCGTGTGAGGGGCTGTGTGTCCGTGTGCGGGGCTGTGTGTCCGTGTGCAGGTGTGTGTTTGGGAGTGTCTGTGTCACCACAGGTCTGTCCGTGTTTGTTCGCCCCAAGGCTGCCTCTGTTGCTTCTGGTTCATTCACCACTGAGAGTTTTAGAAAGCTGTAGCAGACAGATGTTTTTCTTACACATGTCTGTAAGGGGGCTGTGTACGTGTTGTGCACAATGTCTTTCCAGGAAATGCTCACCTTTATACTGAAGCAGGAGTTTCCCTTTCGTCCCATTGGCACTCAGTTTCAGATACAGCGAGGACTCAGCACAGTTTGTGAGCTGCCTCTGGGCTCTGCTTCCTGTTCTTGTCCTGACATTTCTGTTCTTTCAGGGTGAATCATTCCTGCTCTTTCAGGGGGTGATGCCTCCCCCAGACTGTGCCTTGGGAGCATCAGTGCTGCCATGTCTCACAGGCTACCAGTAAAAGCACTGCTCCTCAGGGTGTTGCCGGGGCATTTGCTTGTTTCTGCTAGCCTCAGACAGCAGCCGAGTTTGTTCTAATTCTGCATCAATCAAAAGAAACTTCTATTTACCAGATCAATTCATGGCAGGGTTTACAAAGAGCTCCTGATATTCACACCATGACCTAGTATAATTGCCAAGCTTAGGAGTGTTGCTCCTGCACCACCAACGTGCCTTTTCTATCCCTGTCCCTGCCCCTGACACATTTTCTTTGTTGCCCTTTGTCCACTTGCTTTTATCCCACTGACATTCGGTTTCACAACCAGGTTTGATGAGGGCCTGTCACAGTCTGTGAGCCACCTCTGGGCTCTGCTTCTGGCTGAGGTCTCCCTGCCCCAGTTTTCTTCTTCACTTGTAAAGCTTCCCACTAAGGCATCTTGAAATCTGCATTAGCCATAGGCATTTAAATTTATATCTTTTAAAGTTAATATTGGTCTTTATTTTGATGGTGTGTAATTGCTCCATTCCCTGCTGAGACATCAGCTGGAAAATTCAGAAGTTTTCCCTAGGAGGAGAAGCCTCTACATTTCTGTGCTCTCTGCCTCCAAAGCTTTCAGTAACATGCATATAATCTTTCCTACCATCTTGCTGTGATTATGAACTGTTTCCAGCCACTCTGGACTGGGGCAGGAGCCTTCATCATGCACCTGTGTTCTTTTTCAGAGCCATCTTTCCTCCTCTCCTTGTCCCAGCTGCCTTGTGGTGCTGCCAGTGCCTGCCTGCGGGGCAAGTCAGAGCATGTCTGGACCCTGTAGATGAGATGCAGAGGATGGCAGAGCTGCTGGAGCTCAGGGATGAGTGCGGGGAGGGGACTTCAGGGGCTCCTGCCCTGGCTGGCTCCTGCCTTGCAGACAACAGACTGAACCTGGATGTTTATCCTGACGGCTGCCGCCGTTTCCTCCAGCTGTTCAAGGAGCTACAGGGAGAGGTGGTCCAGGTTGAGTTCCTCCGGCTCAGCAGCAACGACTGCCTCCTTGACACCACACTGGGCAGCCTTCCTCATCTGAAGCACCTGAAATCCCTGGTGCTTAAAGGTGAGTTCCGGGGCCTAACTCCATCTAGCTTTCCTAGGCTCAGCTTTTTGTTAATCCTTCTCTTCACATCTGCAGGACAAACTGCCCTTGGAAGTGTTTTGTTCCAGTGCCCCAGTACCTAAGCTTTGGCTCAGCCTTGCTCAGAGCTGAATGCAGATTTCAGCAAGATACAGCTTCTGGACTCTTTATTTCCTCTCTTTGTTTCTACAGCTGCCTGGGGACTGGGTTTTTGGAGTCTAGTTGGGTTGATGCTGCAGCATTTTCTAGAACATTCTCTAGAAGAAGAGCGTTTTTTTTTTGCAGTTAGATCCTCTCTGTTATGCAAGAAGAGGGGGATTGAAAGGTGTTGAATCTTTTGGTGAATGTTCAGCCCTTCTTCCATTTTTGAGAGTATAATAAGCTGTCTTTGCTGTGTTTCTATCTGAATCAGTCCATGCTTAATCCTTGCTTACTGTCAGTGACTGTAGGTTTAACAAAGTTCAAGACAGACCAGAAGAGGTGTTCAACATTTTATCTAAAGTAGGACACAGGGTGTGCATGTAATTTGGCAAAGTGTAATAACTTCTAGGGCTATAAATATTAGATCATTCTTGACTGTCTCATCTCATTATTGTGGGAGGATCTCAATACAATTTGTATAAATTCTGTATCAGCCTGAATAATTTGCTCTTTGGGAGGTAGAATTTTAAAAATAAATGTGAAAGAAAAGGGGGAGTTTGGAAACAGAATTCAGGGTTCCAGCTGAAAACTGAATAGTCTGAAGTTTGTTTCTATATCTGTCACAAATTTCTCATGTGAATAATTTGATTTGTCTTTTCTGCCTTTAGTAAGGTGGCAATAACAGCAGTACCTTTTATCAGTCTTGTTTTATGAGATGAGCACACACCCTGAGTATCCTGGAGTGCAATAAAGTAGTTCACTAAGAACTATGTGAAAAGTGCAAGGTGCACTGTTAGTTTGGTTTTTCTCATTTTGTACCATTATGCAGCATAAAAAAATGTTTGGTGCCCTCTGCTGTATATGGATATAAATAGAAAACTGTGGAAAAGGAGTATGAAACAATGAACAAGTGGAAAAATTTGGAAGTTTCCTTTTGTTTGCTCGAGTTATTTTCCAAGGGTGCAGCCCTTCTCCAATTTGAATGTCACAAGCTGGGACATGGAACTTTCATTCTTCCCTCTCTGTGCTGTCTGCCCTACAAAATACCAAATTACCTACTTTTCCCCCCACATTTTCACTGCTTTCCTCATGTCTGCCTACAAAATACTGAATTACCTACTTTTTCTTCCCACGTTTTCACTGCTCTTTTCTCGTGTGTGCCCTCCAGTCTTGCAAGGGCAGATTTCAGTTCTCAGGGCTGTTTGCTTCTCAACAGCATGGATAAAGCCTTGAGGGCAAGGACAATTTCCTTGATCTATGAAGTGTTGTGTGTTGGCCACTGGTAGTGAGGAAGAAGTGGAGAAGGGGCGTGGGAGGCTTGGAGGTATATGGGCCATTCTGCTGAAGTGTGGTAAATGTCTGGGGTGGCCTGGCTCATTCTGAGCTTTGACTCCAGATGTCTTTAGCAGAGCTGTACTGATTCACTTTGGCATCTCCTGATTTCATAACAGCTCTTCACTGTTACACCCCTTTCACCGATGAGGAAACTGAGGCATGGAGCAGAAAACTCACTTCTCTGAGTACTTTGTGCTTAGTGCTGCTCATTGTGATCAGTAACTCCCAGTCTTGTGAATCTCAGTGTCAAGTCCTAACCCTAACCCTAACCCTAACATCTTCCTCCACTTCCCTCCACCCAGGTGGCCATGCTAGGGATGAGTTTGGTTCCTATCAGCATGGCTCCCTGACAAGCCTGCCACCAGACTTTGGGAACCTCAGCTGTCTCACCCACCTGGATCTCAGCTTCAATAGACTCTCCACCTTGCCAAGCTGTATTCTCCACCTCCCCAGCCTCCGTGTGCTCCTGGTGAGCCACAACAGCCTGGTGACACTTCCTGAGGACTTTGGCCGTCTGAGCAAACTGACTTTCTTCTCTGCGATGAAAAATCAGCTCAAAGATTTACCTCAGAGCATTGGGGAGCTGTCAATGCTGCAGAATCTGGATCTCTCAGAAAATGCTTTAGAATTGCTCCCTGAACAAATTGGGAATCTGCACAACTGCACAGAGCTGGATCTCTCTGGGAATCGCTTATTGAGCATCCCAGACTCCCTAGGTATGTATTTTATTAAGGAAGAGAAGGACATGGACTTGCCAAGCGTTTGGTACAACCTCTGAGACCCTTGGTCTCTCTCCCCAGAGTTGTTAGCATAAACCATGTTATACTGGAGCCAAATGGGAGGGGTATCCAGAAGGATCATGTTTGGTTCAGCCAGTGCCTTTGAGCATGAGCAGCTCTCTGGACCACACTTTGTGTTTCTGTGAATCAGCGACACTGCTGAGATTTCAATACAATTTACAGTAACTGATCTGGCCTGGCTGTTTTTGGGTAGCACCTGGGACTGGTAACAGAAGAGCTGAGGTTTGACGGGATGCAAATCTGGGCTTGAAATCACACTGCCAGGGTGGACCAGTCCACCGAACAGGGCTCTGACTTCTGCTGCTCAGCTTCCTGGGTCCTGCATTACTTTGTGACCGAGGTTGTTTTTGATGCTGTTACAGAAGTGTTACTTGTAGCTGAAAAGCAGAGGACAGAAGAGATTGCCTTGCCTCTCACCTAATTCCTTGCACTCCTTTATATTGTGAGCTAAAGGGATGCTAAGCTTTCGTGCTCTTCCCTCATTATGTGTGTGTTTACATAGGCTGAGAAGAGAGGGGGGTTGGAGCTGATGTGCAATGCAATTAACAGCACGGATGGGGGGCCACTTCTTGTTCCAACCTGCAGCCAATTTGAAGTCTCTGCATCGGCTGCATCTCCACAGCAATCTCCTGGTGACAGTCCCTGCCTCACTTGCCAGCCTGCCCAACTTGTCCAGACTTGATCTGCAGAACAACTGCCTCCGTGCCATCCCTGCTGAGATCCAGACCTTGCCATTCGTGCACATCCGAGGCAATCCCTTGGGAGAAACTGAGCCATCCCTGCTGCCTGGTAATTGCAAGGCTTCTGCTGCTGTGTGTTCTGGCCAGCTGTTCCCTCACTCAGCCCAGCATGGTGTAGATGGGTTTGGATTAGAGAAGGCAAGCAGGGGGGAGTCAGATCAGCATTTATTTCTCTGGAATAATTATTAAGTTGTAAGGATACAGACAGTACTAGTTATGTTTTTATGAGGCCTATCCCAGTCTGAAGGGCTCAGTAGTCCCTGTAATTGGGCTTTCTCAGTAGGATTTTACTGGAAGTGAAAATAGGACTCAGGGGAAACAGATCAGGGGAGAGGTCCCTCAAGCGGTCCAGCCTTTTTAGCAGAGGTCAGCACCAGTTCCTGGGCTTGTTGTCTGGCCCTAAGAGTGTGGTGACTCCTGATAGAACCTCAGAGAGCAGCAAGGGGTCATTCTGCTGTGCAGTTACCTCCTGCTTTCCTGAGGTTCAGAGGCTGCAGAGGAGCAGCTCTTTGTCCAAGAGGAAGTTGATGAAATGAGCAGGAATCTGAGCAGGATTGAGCACCTAATGGTGCTCATGTTCACAAGAGCAAGCACTGGTTCCCAGGGGTGGCCTCAGGCAATCAAACATGGCCCTGAGAGCTGCAGGGGTAAACTGAAATATTTTCTAATTCCCTCTGATTCTGAGTTTCCCTGGGGGACAGCCAGCATTTTCAGTACGTCTTGGGACCTCGAGGGTCCATGCTATCCTCTTGCTGCAGTATGTTCTGGAGCCCACTGCAGTGTGACCAGGATTCCATTAGTGACTTCTGTCAGATTAGGATTAAGCCAAAGCTGTTCAGCCTTTCTTGTCTACCTTGGTTTAAGTAACCTCTACCTGCTTCTCCTACCCAAATCTTATTGCCACAGATAAATCCAGTACCAGAAGGCTAAAAAGACTCTTCCTTGCATCAGGAGAGGGCAGGTAAGCCTCTGTTATTAAGAACTTATATTACTGTGGTGTTAAAAGGTCTCAGACAAGGTGCATGGTGGGTATTGCAGAAATGTATAGAAGCTTATAGCCTCAGTGGGCCAGTCAAACACGAGATTTTTCTGTTGATTTTTGGAGGGCTGAAGTTAGTGCACAATGTCATAAATTCATTAATTTCTTCTGGAAGCTTTACTGTCACCTCTGAAGGCTGCAGAGTGGTCCTGGCCTGTGGCATCCATTTCTACTTTCCGCCGGGGGCTGCCTCTGATCCTCTGCAGATCCGCTTCCGATCCCTCACACCAGATCCTCAGTGGGTAAAGCTGAGACACCACGATGTCCTGCTGAGTAGAGTCCTGGAGCTGCAGCCTCATGGGGTCCAATTCCAGCAGGTGAGGATACACCCAGGGCACCTCCTGATGAATCTGCTTTGCAGTAGCTCAGTAGAGCCTTCTCAGAGCTCCTTTTGGCACCTGTGAGAGAGTTATCCTCATCCTGGTGCAGGACTGCCTCTCAAGGAAGCCTTGCTGCAGAGAATCAGGAAAACACAGCCAGCTTCTCTGATGCTGTGCTGGCATCTTTGCCATCCCCACTGCTCCTGATTGAGCTGAGCTATAACCTTTCTCACTCACAAGCCCCCTGCTCTACCAGAGTCCAGCATCTGGCCTTAGCCAGATGGAGAATGGTTCGCAATCTTCTCTAGAAGTCTAAAAGATTGTGTGGTTTGCATTCAAGCTGGGGAGTAATCATACCACCTACCAGCCCCATCATGGCTGACAACAGCTCACTGCAAAAGTTGCTTTGCCCTTTCTGCTCAGGTGCTGCTGAACTTTGCCATCAGAATCCATAGCAGACCTGACATTTCCCATCACCTCCCCAGAGACTGTAGGGCAGAGAAGGTTCTTTGAGTCCCTGCATACACGCCACATACTCTGCCCTCCCTCTTCTTGTCTACATAGGAAGCCACAGAGCAGAGCTGGGCTTGGTTTTATCCTTTCAATTGGTGTCTCATGGGAATGCTTTTTTGCCAGGAGGTGCAGATCTGGATGCCATATATCTCACCTCAAACCCCTCACCAGCATGAGGTGGTAGTTCGGACCTTCAGTGAGCAGAGCTGGAGCGATCTGAAAACGAGAGTGAAGAAGAGGAGAAAATCAAAGGTGAGCAGATTGAAATGACCAGTGACACACTTTGTTCCTGTTCCCCTCTTTGGTTGTGCCCAGCCAGTAGTGAACCTATTTGAAACATGTAATGAGCTGTGTTTTGACCAGCTGCTATGAAATGTAGTGGATTTCAGCTCCAGGTTTCCTCTCTCATGGAGCTGTGTCTCCTGAAGTTGATGAGTTGCAGCCTGCCATGCTTCATCCCTGATCTAGTACTTTCTTCTGCTTGCCAGGTACTCATTTTTCTGCCTTTATTGTATTAAGTTCTATGCCTATATGTTTTCTTCTTTGTCCTCTGTTACAGAAGTGTGTGGCCTACTGTTGTGTCCTTCACTTCTCTTGGTTCCTTGTTGTGTCTCGACTTGTGCAAAATGAATGCAAAGTGCCAGCAGAGGGGACGTTGCTGTTTTCCAGTGTGGATCCAAACATCAAAGTGATCTTTCCTCCTGGAGTCACCAAAGAGCCTCGTAGTGTCAAGCTGCAGGTATGCATGCTTTTTGGTGAGCTCTGGTGCAGCTATTTTCTTGTGTTCAGTACAGAACTGAACAGAGATATCTGCCTTAGGGTAATTCATGTCTAGATGTGGTTGCTTCATGGGCTGGCCCATCTCAGATCACCTTCTGTCTTAACTCCCCTGCCTGCAACATGGGCCCTGCTCCGTGCTGCCCTGTCTGGGAAAAGGATCTCCAGCAGATAGCTGCTACGAAGGGAACACAAAAAGATTTTGCCTCTTTTTCCCTTGCAAAACTGACCTTAGCAAAACAGCTCAGTGAGAATTGGAGGTGGTGGGGGAATCTAATATGGATCTAATTGTAAAATCACCCCACTAAAATTAATTGCTCTGTAGAGCTGCTAGATGCACTTGCAAAACTTTAAGTCCATCCTGGTCTGACAGGTTGCCAGAACTTCAGCCAAAGTTCACTGTACTTTATTTCTCAATGGGCCCTGCAGCAAGGGCAGCATTTGCCTGCTGGGTGCTGGAGGAACTGAGTGAGCAGTGTGGGAATTTGGTGCCTGACTGCTTTGCTCACTGTGCTCTCTGCCACATCCAGGTGCTGCCAGTCTCTGCAGAAGAGATACAGGAAATCACAGCCAGTGCAGGGTGCAGAGCCAGTCCCCTGCTCTACCTCTCCCAGGACTCCACAGTGGATTTTCTCAAGCCAGTGAGAATTCAGCTGCCTCTTCCTCCTGGGGTCACAGGTCAGCTTATTCCCAAAACTGAAGAAGGGAAATGCCATATTTGGAAACCCACAAATGGCATGAGAGAATTTTGTTTGCCTCTCCTGTTGTTAATAAAGCTTGCTGCTTTTCCTGCAGGAACAGCAAGGTGTGTCTGCTGACTGTGTGGTGGTGCAAAGCAGTGGGTGCTGAAGGTAGTTCAGGTCCATCACATGAGGGCTGGGGTTCACAGACCAGACATGCTGGGAGAATGGTCTTGGCAAAAGGATCTCTCTGCCAAACCACATGTGTATTTAAACTGCTGGTTTTACTATGCTGGATTGGAGAGGCACTCCTGCCCACTGGGGAGATGCATTGTAAAAGGGCTTTGATTCATGACTGGGAATAGCTTGAAGCAGGAAATGAACATGCTGCCTCCAAGGGTCTGCCTTCTCTTTTCCTTGCATATGAATCAGGTGCTGAGCCACTGCATTTAAAAATGTATGATTGTATGCTAAGCTACATCCCACTCTGAAAACTGCTAAAAACAGCCTCAGTCATGCCAGGGATTCCTCTGTTTCCTGACTACCCTGAGTGTCCTTGCTCCTATTTTCTTTGACCTCTCCTGGTTTTCTGGTGCAGAAATACATGGCCTTCATTATAACACCACCTGATATTTGTATGCCTGAAGTGCATCAGGATTGAAAAATCTGTGAGATGTACATTAGAAGGAGATAGAACTTAATTAATAACCCTAGATTTTAGAGATGAGAATTGTCTAATGAATCTGTTTGTGAGAATGAGTACACTATCATTTTAACTCTGCATATTTTGCCAGAATATCCCAAAAGCAATGGGATAGCCTGATCCTTTTATTGCTTCTCTTCTTTGACCAAAGTTCAGTCCCGGATGCCAAAGAGAAGGCCATGAACCCTTATTTGGTGGCTTTAAAAAGTAAATCACCCAAACCTGTGGCTGGTTTTGTAAAGCCATGAATAAAGACTTCTGCTGCATACAGCATCTCTTGATCATTGGTATCTTTAGGGCTAAATCTGGATCAGTCACAGCTGCATATTCTCCATGGTGACCTGGAGGGCCAAAGCTGGAATGACATTACCAGTGAGGTGGTGCTGGAATTCACCCATCTTTATGCAGTGTTTGAAGTTACTCACTTCTCCTGGTAAGTGTAGGAATTGTCCTGAGGAAAACATGGGATGTTCCTCTGCCTTGCTTTTCCCACTCTGACCAAAGGCCATGGCATTAACTCTGTCTGTTCCCTTTTCCTTTTGCAAGTCAGGTCCAGCATAGCACTTTGTCTCTACCTGTCATTCTTTCCAATTGTGTAGGTGTGACACTGGCACCTTTCTCTGGGCAGAGTCCCTTCTTTTTTTTTTTTTTTTTTTTTAATTCCTTGTCTGCAGGTACTGGCTGTGGTACACCACCAAGACCTACATTGGAGGCATTGCCAAGAAGGTCTATGAGCGGCTGCGTCTGTACCAGGTGAACTTCATTGCACTGCAGAGGAAGAAGGATCCCGAGCAAGTCCTGCTACAGTGTGTCCCCAAGCACAAGGTCTGATCTGCAGTGCAAGGTTGCACTGCCTTGTTCCTGAGCTTCCCAGACTTCCCTTTGCAGGATGTAAAGGCAGCAGTGCACTGAACGGTCCTGTTCACTGCCCCAGAGTCATGGCTGGGGTGTGCTGTCACCAGTCTGTTGGTGGTGTGATAGGGACTCACAGGGAGCTGGGGCAACAAAAAAACCTCATTCTATGAAGTGGTAAATGCCATGCATTGATTTCCTCCCTGCAAACCCTGAGGACTGAGCTGCTAAAACCAGCTGAACCACAGTTACTGGCCATGTATATGCTATTATCATCCAGGAAACATGAGGCAAAACATGTTGGCTTAAATTTGAGTCAAAGTTTACATGTCACTTGTCTGATACGGGCTAGTGGTGTGGGCAGCAGCACTGCTTTGTTTTCAGCTGGAGTGGTTAGGAATGGTACTTTTCCTTGTGTTCCTTGCCATTCTCAGTTCAAGTCCTGGAATAGAATATATGAGCACTCCTTAATCTGTTTCAGTGCAACATCAGGTTGGTTTATGCTATGAGTGTGAGCTAATCTGGCTGACTTTGTCAAGGAGGAGATGGGAAGTGCTCACACATTCTCTTCTGCTGCCTCTTCCTAGGGGTATCAGCCCTCAGCAGTGTTGTTTCAGATTAGTGTGATTATGAGTGTGCAGCTGTGGAGAACATGTCCCTTGGCAGGCAGTGCAGCTTGGTGAGGTGAGGGTTATTTTATCAGACCACTACTGGGCTGCATATCCTGCTCTGCATAATTCTCTGCTCTGCTTGCTCCTTCTCTTTACCTGTGCTCCTGTATTGAAGTGACCTGTGAACACAAACATCTGCACAGATTTTTTATATCGGGCTCTGGGCTAAAACTATCTCCTGATGAGGCAGCAGTGACACTCAGAGTGAGATTGTTGTCTGGGTGTGTTTGTAATCCTGCTGGGAATGGTCATGAGTGAGGGAGGTTTACTGTTAACAAATAGAAAGAAGAATCTAAACTTACTCTTGCACTGTCACTGTGTTCAATATGCTATAAAGTCAAAATGAGCTTTCTGGTGTACTCACCTGTGTGCTATTGTAGCATGTGTCTTTTTGCAGAGAAAATGTAATTGAATAGTAAGTGAGATATGGTAGCAATTAAATCTCTCTTTGTCTTTGAAGTTAAAAAGAACTGCTAAAAAGATAGAGACACTGCTGAAAATGCTTTTAAAAAGGGTGTTTGTTCATTTCTTTGCATCCTTTTCATGTAAAATAGTCTTCCCTGTTGAAGGTGAGAGGAACATTATGGGTTATAGAAACATGGGTCGGGGGACAGACGTGCTTCAGACCAAACGCTGTTGTCCTTGTCAGGTTGACCCCGTGCTGAAGAAGCTGCAGAACCGCTATCGAGGACCTGAGCCATCCGACATGGTAGAGATGTTTGAGGGAGAGCAATTTTTTGCAGCTTTTGAGCGAGGCATCAGCATTGATATGGGTATGGCAGTACTTGGCTTGTTCTGCTCCTACCTACCTACCTCTCATCCTGCTCTGGCCCTAGATGTGTTTCAGCTGTGGGTTGTACTCCTCCATGGCATTCCTCTCTGTCTCCAGCTCGCCCACTACGCACAGCAGCCAACCCCTGGACATTGAACTTGTCACATAGCTTTTCTGTCTACTTTTCCTTATGAAAGTGCTATTTGCAGACTTTCATTCCTTCTCATGCTCTTGTAAACCTGCAGAGGGCAATAGCCAGGCGGGTTTATTTTGATGACTGATCTGCTTCTGCATACTTTTCTCCACGAGCTGAATGCTTCCTGCATCTCTGCACAGATCGCCCCGACTGCGTGGACGGACGTCTCTCATTTATTTTTTACTCCCACTTGAAGAACATGAAGGAAATCTATGTGACCTCCCCTGTGGACAGAAAAGGCCAAGCTGTAAAAGGCCAGGTGAGCAACCAGATACACTGACTTCTTGTTTCCTCCTTCATCGTTGCTTTCACAATAGTCATCATAATAATGAGTGCTGAGCCTGACTCTTTTCCTACTCTCTTTCTCTGGCTTTGCATTTCACTGACTAAACTCTGAATAATCCAGAAGTGTAATTTTGAAGGATCACTCATCACTTAACTGACTTACATTCCTGCCATTAATTTTTGGGGTGCTGGCAGAAAGTCCAGCCTTTATGGCAGAATCGCAGTGCTCCTTCCAGTTACACATAATTGAGAGGCCATATCTGTGGGCTGAAGATAGCTGAGAATGCTGCATTCATTCTTGCCCAAATGGAATAGACATGATGCCAATGTGCTGGGCCACTGAGCTTGAATCAGAGCCTCACTGCATGCTTTCTCTTTGCAAAGGTCTCTTTCTACCGAGGGGCAGTTCCAGAGAGCATCCCTGAAGATGCCAGCAGGAGGAGAAAAGGTCCAGACTCCCTCTGGCTTGCTACTCTGCCCATCAAACTGCCTGTGAGTTGTCTCCTACAGAAAGATTAGTCTAGATGGGGTAAGAGCACGGCATTCCTGCTCAGCTAATTTTGTTTTCCTCCATGAGGAGGCATGCAATGAATGACCACAAGAAATATCTGCCCAGCAGTGTCATGGTGGAGATTTTATACTCCCCGTGAGTGAGCTCTTCTGAAACAAGAATATGAAGAGCTGGGAGTGGTCTCCACCTCTCCTGCTCATCTTGTCTGTCAATTACAGGCTTGTTGGATGGGTGGTCAGAGAGTTAGAGAGGGTGGATCCTTCGAAAAAATGAGAAAGCACTATGCAAAAACGAGCAAAAGCTTGCTGTAATTAACGGAAGTGTCTGTTTTAGTCACACAGCTCATGCAGCAGGAAAAAAGAAAGGAATAGGATGAGGTAGTTATGGTGGATTTGAGGATAGACATTGAGTATAGGTATTCTGGTGTGAGCTTTAAAGGCTAGGCTGGTATGTTACAGTGAGAATTGCAACTTTTGCTTATGGAATTTAAGTGCCATTTGAGAAGCCTAAAACAATAAATACCTTGGTAGGCTGAATGCTTCCCTTCCAATCACATGTGGTGATCTCTGATCCTTTTCTGACACATGCAACCTCAACTACAAACCTAGACTAAGTGCTCTTACTGCTGAGGCCAATATGCTTCAGGGATGTGGCTTATTTTAAACTGCTCTGTAAATTCAGGAAAGGAAATTTCCTATGGGAACTCTGACTGTGAGCACTATGATTTGATATTTTCCTGAGGCAGTGAGCATTATTGGCCACTGCCAGTGTGAGTCCTCCTTGCTTCTTACAGCCTGACCCTTCAGCCCCAAGAACTTCCTTTCCCCCGAGTAGAGGGAAGGAGATTTCACTGTGGAGACTGAGTGGCAAGACACTGTCCTCTACAAAAACAGATGGCAGAGGAAAGAATGTTCTCACTCTCTCTCTCTCTCTCTCTCTTCTTTGTGACACAGCAACTGAAACCCCGTTGGGATGAGAACCCTGGTCCCCTGTATGGCTTCTCCTTCCCTCCCTTGAACCTGGGCAATGCTGAGACTGGGTACCTGACACAGGCAAACCTGCTGAGCATTGCCAGGCGTGTGGGAGCTGACTGGCAGAACATCGGCCTCAACCTGGGCCTGACCTACCAGCAGATTGAGCGCATAGGATACAATAACAGGTGAGACAGGGCACAGTAATCAACAGTGATGCATTATATCTCTCTGTCCATCTATCTGCAGTGTTATGGTATAAATCAGTACTTGGCTGGCTGAAAGTTCTTCCACTGTAATTGTTTCACTGGATTAAAGATCGGTTGACTAATGGTTCTTCTGAAAATAATACCTTTTATAATGGGAAACTGATTATTTTCTTTTGCATTATAAAAGAAAGCTTTTTTTGTTTGAAAAACAAAAGTGGGAAATAAAAAACCTGATGAGCTTTGTAGTTCAGCTGAGTTGCATTCCTCTTTTGTTCCATGATCAGATTCCTGGCCAGACTCCATCTCTTACAAAGAGAAATGATCTATGGCTTTAATTGTGAATATCATCGTTATTCAAAAAGAGCTTGTGGTACATCATGGGACATGCAGCCTGACCAAAAAGCCAAAGCAGTAGGAGAGAATTAGACTTGTTATGATCAAACTAGTGTTCCTGTAAGGAAATGATATTCAAAAGCACAATGCCTTAATTTGATACTTCCATTAGGAAAACATTTTATAGAGAGACGTTCATGCAGGAACTTCAGCTCCCGTGTGCTGGGTGGAGAAGAGGCAGAGGAAGCCCACTGAGTGCTTTGTGTGCCTGGATGGCTTCTTTAAGGCTCTAGCCATGGCTGGGACTTAGGTAAGGTCTCTTTGGTTTGCTGCTCTGGACAGCATGTTGGTTACTTCTGTCTTTCCTCCTTTCTTCAGAGAGGACCTCAATAAGCAGATCCTGGACATGCTTTTCTCGTGGGCTCAGCAGAACTCGGAGGATCCTGGCTGTGTGAGCAAGCTGATCAGAGCCATGCAGGAGAGTGGCCGCCAGGACATCGCTGATGAGGTCGAAGCCATCATTGAGCTGGGGCGGCAGAAATACAGCGAGTCCATCCGCCGGGTGGGGCTGGAGCAGGAGAGCAGCACTGAGGACTCTGCAATAGCTATGACCTAGCACTAGCAGAGAAAAATGGGGTTTGTAGGGGACCCTCCTGTGTACCCAGAGTCACGGTGCCTGGGGGCTGCTCCCTCCTCAAGGGCCGGTGTCTTCCTGAGGAGCTGGGCATTGATCCTCCCAGATCTGTACTGACATGCCATTTCTGCCAATCCCAGGAAGTTTAGAGTGCATTTATGGACCTTTTTTCTACTTCCACTTCGTGATCTTGAGCTTTAGCTTTCAGAAATGTGGAGAAATTTAGAGGCTGAAGTGTCTGTCTGTCAGCTGAGTAGTGGCTTAAGTAGTGTTTGATGAATTAATAATCATGTTACATGTATTTATTCATAACTTATTCCTGAAACTGGAAACATTGCTGGAAACACTGGGTGTGAGCATTTGGGTCCATTTGTGCTCCAGTGCTTGATAGGAGAGTGGAGGTGCAGTCACATTATGAAGGCCTGTGATGTGGTGCAGACTGTTTGGCCATTTCTGTTAATAATGTGTTCTGCTCACATGAAAATGTGAAAACTATATTCCCCATGAAAATGTGTTCTATTTTTTCCAAATCTCTTCCAGTTCTCTTACGTTCAAACAAAACCTAAGCATTTGTGGGGAAGAAAGAAGAAACTGACTTCTAGAAAATTGCCCTATTTTTTTTTGGTTTTGCTCCAAAAGTTATCATGAAACAAATAGCCTGCTGCACCTCCAAGCACCTTTTTAGATGACACCTACGTACTACTGATCCGTGACAAAGTTCCTTCTTTATTTTATAAAAAAAAAGTAAAAATCCATGACTTGTTCTGGGAGAGACTCTGATTTAAGAGTCTCTGAAATTTAAATTTCCCTTGCAGTTTCCAAGGGGTAATCCTCGCATTCTCGCAGTGAAATGTGACTGTTTAGTAGTGAAGGTGTAACTCCTCCTGAAGTTTGGTGAAAAGCATGACTTAAATTTGCATTTTAAAAACTGGTCTGACCAGCTGTGAAATAAGGCACTGTTGTGGGTTTGGCATCAACCATGCTGAGCTAACTTCCCAGTTTTTCGCCCTGAATATCTTGTATAAGGCTGGAAGCATTTACTGCTTTTTTAGCTACTCAATCATTTATTACTGAGGTGCCCTTCTCTTCCTGTTCCCCATCCCATGATGGCCCTCAGTTAATGACCCACTAATGACAGTAGAAAATTACATGACAGACAGCTGTCATTTAAGTAAATTCAAGTCTTTCAAGACAGGTTTGAATTCGGCATAACTCTCTTAACATTACTTAAAGGGCTGATTTTAGTCTGAAAAAACAAAAGTGTGTCTAAAAATGTCAGGTTGCACCACCCAAAGTCAACAGGCAGTTGGAGGTTGGATAAATCCTGGCGTTTTCTTCCCCTCATGAAGAATCATAGGTGGCTTCCCTGATGTTGCTTCAAACCTGCCATCAGTATTATTGAAAGAGAGGCATAAAATTGTTCTGCTTTTTCTCTCATTTAAGGCTGTTCTAACATCTCAGCCTACAGAGTGCTTCCTGTCCAGTCCAGAGCACTGGACAAGGACTTGCAGATTTGAGTTGTCACCTTGAGCCTAGGGACTTCCACAGATCTGATTTCTTAGGTTGTGCTGCCCCGAGTCTCATGTTGTGTTCAAGTCAGCAGTGCTCTTTTGAATGTACATTTTCTCTTGTATTCTGTGTCTTGTGTTATTGGGTATGTGTATTGTAATTTTCATTGACACCAACAAGGTATTTGTTTTTTCCTCCAGTTTTGGAGAGATGCATTTGAGCATATTGCTCTCACTGGGAATAAAATCAGCACTTAACTATTTCACAGCGTGGTCTGCTATTCCATAAATGCCTTGAGTTAGGTGGAGACTGGTCCCTTTAAACCTGCTGGCAGGAGAACACAGGTGAGCTTGGCTGTGCTGTGCAGAAATGGGAGAAGAGCTCCTGTTTGGATACTGCTGGTTGCAAAGCACAGGACAGACTGCAGCTGAGTCAATGGTGTCCCTGGAGGGTGGCTTTGCTGCAGTGGGGCTAAGCCAGGAAACACAATGTTCAGGGAATGAGCTGAGGCTCAGGTGGAGCAAGTCTAGAGAGCAACAAGGCTAATCTAGAAGAGACAAAGGGTAAGCCTGTCCTCCCATGAAGGTGAGGGAGAAGTCTTCAGGAAGCACAAGGTAGCATCCACAGCTGTAACACGATGAAGCTTGGCTGCACTTAGCTTTCTGTTTGTGATAGGCCAGAGTTGAGTTAGGCAATGCTGGAATAAAGGATAGCTAGGCTGGACCCTGTGGAGAACTCATCCAGTCATCAGCAGAGCTACAGCTCTTCCAGAAAAAACAACTTGGAGCCGAGAGAGGAAGGTTAGTGCCAGGTGTTCAGGTTACTCTTGTAATAGGCTACGGCCAGACCAGGGGACAACAGATACCAAAGCCTAAACAATTTCATCAGTAGAACAGCTCTTCAGGATTTGGGCTGATAACTTATGGAAAGGTAAGTATTGTACCCCAGACAAGGATTGCTGTCTCCAGTCTTTCCCTGCTGAGTCACAGCTGCTGGGCTGGGCCTCCTTGCATGGATCTGGCTTTCTCCTTGAAGTGACACCAAAGCAAGCACCCAGCTGAGGACACCGAGGTGCTGGCGGGAAATCAGAGCAACTGCTCAACTGCTCTTTCCTCAGCTGACTTGGCAGCAAATATTTGAGCTGGATGAGAGTCAATGGAAAACATTATTTTGAGGTGTGTTATCTTTATCAATAATCTCTCTGAGGCACAGTAAGTCTTTCATAAGCCTGTAGCTGCTATGGCTGATAACAGTTGAAGTAGATGGTTGAAACAGTAAAAGAAATAAGTAACCTGGCATTTATCTTTTGAATCAAAATATGGCATTCCTTTCTGATTTCTATCATGAATTCATCACATACTGGAGTAGTATCTTGCCCTTTCCAGCTATCTGGCTTTTTCTGGTCCGTAATATGCACCTTACAGTGTCCTACAGATGATCTGGCAGATTTTATGGTTTTCACTGTGCATGATCTCGATGTGTCCAAAATTCTCCCAAATAAATTTTTACCAGGAAAAGCTTGCTTACAAAAATTTTTAAAAGTAAAACAAGAAGTCCTTTGGGAGTAGGAACATTTTTTCTCGTTCTTTTTTGGCTGTAACATTTATAGCTCTTTAACTCTCATAATGACACCCTTTTCTACTTGATAAACCCTTTTCTACTTTGTAAACTTGCAGATCTCCAGCAAAATGACCTGGGTGTTTCCCACATACCACTTTAAGTTTCTTCTAACCATGATAGTCCCCTAGCTACCAGGAGACAGATCCAGGTAAGATGCTTCCAGCTCCTACATATATTAACTTTTAAAAAAGCTGAGAAATGAAAGCCCAGGCAAAGCTCAAATCAGTTTATTAATTCCATAAAAAATACAAGGGAGAGCCTGATTATGTTCTGCAGGGGGTTAAACTGTTTACACAGTCCTGTCAGTAAAATGCTGTATAATTCCCAGTAAAAGACCTGACTGAAATACAAAATTGAGAGTGAGCTCGCAGGGGCTGTGGGCAGTTGCTCTGTTTATGGTGGGCAGGCAGCAATACTGTAAAATTCAGCACATTGTCACAGAATGACACAGAGAGAGAGACACTCACTGACTCCAAGGAATCAAGCAGGAAAATAAGCACTTTATTTTCATTTCATGTCTATTTACAGAATTCCAACAATGACCATGGATTGGCCAGTGAGGATATTAACTCCTGACCTCATAGGTCCCATCAACAGCCCATCAATTCTCTCTTCCTCCAAAGCAGAATGCAAAACATTCATTATTTACAAGAAAGAGTGTGAGAAACTGTAAAAAGAATCCGTCAACAATCAGAAGGCTGAAACACAAGGGCAACAGCACATCCACAGGATTGCTCTGATGAGGGAAAGGAGATCACTGTGGTTCACTGAGGACTGGATGGTTCAGACATAAACCTACCGAGCTTGATGCCAAAACTGAAGGAGTTTTAGAAGATTTCCTGCTTGTAAGTTTGTAAGATTTCCTGCTGCTTGGAACACACTCATGTCCATACTTGACAGTGTCATACTGCTGTTTTTTTAAAAAGCGAAAGAAAATATGATGGCCCTGAAATTCACTGTTTTCCTCCCAAGGGAGGACCACCCCATGTTTTCAGCCTTTAAAGCAAGAGTAGCTTTTACTGGGAAAGGGGCTGGCTTTCAGTCACTGGTGCATCAGAGCCCCAGCCCAGGGCTGTGTCAAAGTGAGCCCACCATGCTTATCAGTTGGTATTGTTAAAAGGAAAAAAACAGCATTCGCTGCAGTTGTGGGTGTTCATTCCCTGAACTCTGCAGAAATAAACTGTGTGTCCTTAAAGCACCATTTTTCTGTAAATGTGTATCTTGAAAATCCATGAGGACAGTTTGACCCTTGTTCCAGTTTCCAGCTTCCTTGAAAGAATTCAGTGACTGGGAAATGTAGAAACCGGGTAGGCAAAATGACCATGCCTTTATTCTTCCTGCCTCGCATGCAGAAGTTTGTTTTGGGAGGCTGGAGCTAAGATCCTTCTGCTTGGTTTGCTCATTGAACACCAGCGCAGTTCTTATCTTTTCCAGACGGGAGATGGTAGAACAGAAAAATGTGCAAGGGGCAGGAGATGAGTACTACAGAACATTTTAAACTCTTTTAGCAAAGTACTGCATCTCTTGGGAAAGAATGAAGACTGTCAATACATGGTTGCCATCCACTGTTTCTCGACTAGGTGGCACCAAACCAAATAGTCCAGTATGACCTGCAAATCAGCAAAAGTGGGTACTTTTTTCCCCCCCACTATGGGTAGTTCTATTGCTGACTCTTTGCCGTGGGATGTTTGAGGACAAACCATAAATGTTGTGTTCAGAAAGCGATTGATTTAATTGGTGGGGAAACAAATCCTCTAAAAAGTAAGCAAATACAGAAAGCTGAATGCATTCCCATGTGGAAGGACCAAGAGATTTGGGGCTGCCTTTCTCAGACAAGAGTTGAACCAGAAGCAGCACCTGAGCATGTAGAGAAACAGAGCAGGAACAAGAAGGTGATCAGACATCTCTACTTGCTTTCTCTAGAAAAAGAAGATGGCTGCAAATTGTGCTTCTGCTGAAGCCCTGTGGATAAAAGGAGACCACATTTGCAAGGGTTGGAGGAGGTGGCTGGTTGCTTGAACCTCTCCTCAGAGCCATGTGGCTGAGCTTCACTCCTGGACTGAGAATTCCAGTGGTGACCCAAAACAAACCTGGTAGCACTGCTCAAAGTGAGGGAGATAGGATTTTTAATCTGAACATGTCAAGCTTGAAAAGATCTGCTCTGCCCTGTTTTCACTGCGTCTCAGGCTGAATAAACAAAATCCCATGTGCTGGGTCACCTGGTGGAGCCACATGTTGGGGCAGACCCTGCGTGGTCATGAGCTGTTGGGTCACACACAGAAGGCCAGGGAAGATAGATTGAGCACAACCCAGAACAGCCTGGTCAGCTGGAAGCTGTTCCTGCCCATGGCAGGTGAGTTGGATCTTTAAAGGCCCTTCCAAACCATTCCAAGTACCCAAACCATTGTGTGATTCCATGAAGTTGGGCAGGTTTGATTAGGCTAACAGGACATGAGAGATTAAGGGAGGCTGTCTGCAGACATTTAGGGAGTGACTTGGGAAAACTGCAAGATAATATTCATCATCTCTTAGCTGCCAAGCTGTCCTAACTTTCCGTGCTTCTACAACCGTGCCAGCCCTCTGCTTGAAGCTTGGAATTTCTAAAAGACTCTTCAAATAGCTTAAGAAATTATTTGAGTTTTCCATCCTAATGCAGGAAACCTTTTTCCTGATCAAATGAGGTACCAGGGTGTGGCAGGCCCATGTGTGGCAACAAGGTTCCAAGGCAACAGCAAGAACATAAAGCTTTGGGTATGAACAGGATCACACAGTGATCTGAGTAACCCCTGA